GCAATATTAAAATCTGCCTTCAATAATCACATGGCTTCTCATCCTGGGAAGCAAATATCGATATATGATATTCCACTATTATCCAAGCAACCATTTTTGATGAGCTTTGTTCCAAAAAATATCACAAAAGCATTTGAAACTTGTGGCTGTGGCCTCTAAATGATCAAAAATTCACTGAGGCAGATTTTCAGAGTTCATACGTAACTGATAGGCCAATCGTGGATTCAGTTATAAATAACAATGAACCTGATAGAAATACAACAGACAACTGCTCCACTACATTAGATGACAAATTAGTTGCAAATCAGCTTGATACTGATATTCCAGGTCACAGTGGAAATGTGACTCCTGAAATTGTTAGACCATTCCCGAAAGCTGCACCTAGGCAAAACAACAACCGAAGAAAAGGCAAATCATGTATATATACAAGTACACCCGAAATGAATGCTATTAAAGAGAGAGCAATTAATATACCGAAACAAAAGAAAAAAGTGTAAAACGGGTTGTAATGGACAGTTCATCAGAGGAAGAGCAAATAAATATAGAATATAACGATTCCTCAGAAGGTAGCTACTTTTCTGATGAGGGGATTGGACAAAAACTATGGAAATAGAACATTTAATTTTGGACAGTGATGTGATTTCTGTTAATGACTTTATAATTGTTAAATTTGCAACAAAAAAATGCATAGTATATTATGCTGCGCTCGTGAAAAAAGTGTATGAAGGTCAGTTGGAGTTTGAAGTTCAATATCTGCGACGAAACTTTCCTAAATGGACTTTTGTATTCCCACTCGTCAGTGATATGGCTTCAGTTACAAGAGATGATATTGTGTTGAAGTTACCTAAGCCAGTGAATCAAAAGGGGACAGCAAGGACATCCGACCACTTCACATTTAGTTTAGACCTTACAAAATATTACATAAAATGATAAAATTTATGACACTGTACTTTAATTTTACAAAATAATTTAAACATTATTTTATTTTGTGTATTGTAAGGGTTGTCCACGTGGACCCCCGTCACTGTCCACATGCACCCTTTATTGAGGCACAAGTGGACAAATAACTTATTTTTTTTAATGAAGAATTATTACATTTTATTTTTAAATTGATCATTAATGTTTTAAGTATGTATTACGCAATAGCCATCCAGTGGATCAGTTTAAAAAAAATGTAAAATTAAGAGAAAATAAAATACATATTGGAATTTAAAAAATCCTGCCCACATCTACCCCCCTCTCCCCTATATTATTTTTAATTAGATCTTGTGACACATCTTGAGATTGTTGGGTATAGTTTGCACAACTAAAGAAAATATGATTTAGATCGCCTTTCTCTTAACACATTGTACATTTAAAATTTGGAAAAAGCAAAACACCTGGGTGTGGAAAAGTTATATATAATTAATCAAAGTAAATTACTCCTATGACAAAAAATTATTGCACTTCGTTTTCCAACTCCCCAAGGTCAAATTATTTATGTAGGACAAAACGACGGCTAATAAACCCAAATCGTATTATTTTATTTGAGAAAATGGATTATCTTTATTTATGGAATCTGTTTAACGATCAGGCACATTTAAATAAAAATACGTGTGACACTCGGGGACTGCCGCGGTAAAGCTATTGCATAGCATTTTTTTATCAACTTATGCAATTATAATTATTTATTTATTTACTTTATTAATGCAGTATTTTTTTTATATTAATTCAAGTTTTTTCTTTGATATTAATTCAAGTTACACTTTTTGAGCGTTGTGACCGATAAGAAAACAAATTTTTTCTTTTATTGAATAAATGAAAAGTTAATATTGTTTAAAATATATTTTTATTATCTTACAATACATGTAGGTTATTCAGGAATTTTTATCATTGAAACTATAGGTTTATGCTAACTAAAATAAGAAACATAATTTTAAGACTTGATATCCTCAAAATATCTGGAAAATACCGCGTCAATGGTGGTCCCATATTTTGTTGTGTATTCTTGTATATCATTATTTATTTTCAAATTAAATTTTTCCGAAATTGTGTCTAAAAGAGATATAATCAGTTATGAGCAGTTAGCAACTAGTCTACACGCATACGTCTAGTCGCACGCACACAAATACTATGCCGAAGTCTGCCGAACTGAAACCACGTTAGACGATGTACGGCTTTCAACGCCGCACCGCTGTGCCAGTCGGAGTGGGAAATGTTAAGTTTATTTTTTTTCGATTGTTCGATTTTTCGTTTTTTCGATTTTTCGATTTTTCGATTTTTCGATTTTTCGATTTTTCGATTTTTCGATTTTTCGATTTTTCGATTTTTCGATTTTTCGATTTTTCGATTTTTCGATTTTTCGATTTTTCGATTTTTCGATTTTTCGATTTTTTGATTTTTCGATTTTTCGATTTTTCGATTTTTCGATTTTTCGATTTTTCGATTTTTCGATTTTTCGATTTTTCGATTTTTCGATTTTTCGATTTTTCGATTTTTCGATTTTTCGATTTTTCGATTTTTCGATTTTTCGATTTTTCGATTTTTCGATTTTTCGATTTTTCGATTTTTCGATTTTTCGATTTTTCGATTTTTCGATTTTTCGATTTTTCGATTTTTCGATTTTTCGATTTTTCGATTTTTCGATTTTTCGATTTTACGATTTTTCGATTTTTCGATTTTTCGATTTTTCGATTTTTCGATTTTTCGATTTTTCGATTTTTCGATTTTTCGATTTTTCGATTTTTCGATTTTTCGATTTTTCGATTTTTCGATTTTTCGATTTTTCGATTTTTCGATTTTTCGATTTTTCGATTTTTCGATTTTTCGATTTTTCGATTTTTCGATTTTTCGATTTTTCGATTTTTCGATTTTTCGATTTTTCGATTTTTCGATTTTTCGATTTTTCGATTTTTCGATTTTTCGATTTTTCGATTTTTCGATTTTTCGATTTTTCGATTTTTCGATTTTTCGATTTTTCGATTTTTCGATTTTCTGATTTTCCGAATTTTCGATTTTTCGATTTTTCGATTTTTCGATTTTTCGATTTTTCGATTTTTCGATTTTTCGATTTTTCGATTTTTCGATTTTTCGATTTTTCGATTTTTCGATTTTTCGATTTTTCGATTTTTCGATTTTTCGATTTTTCGATTTTTCGATTTTTCGATTTTTCGATTTTTCGATTTTTCGATTTTTCGATTTTTCGATTTTTCGATTTTTCGATTTTTCGATTTTTCGATTTTTCGATTTTTCGATTTTTTGATTTTCCGAATTTTCGATTTTTCGATTTTTCGATTTTTCGATTTTTCGATTTTTCGATTTTTCGATTTTTCGATTTTTCGATTTTTCGATTTTTCGATTTTTCGATTTTTCGATTTTTCGATTTTTCGATTTTTCGATTTTTCGATTTTTCGATTTTTCGATTTTTCGATTTTTCGATTTTTCGATTTTTCGATTTTTCGATTTTTCGATTTTTCGATTTTTCGATTTTTCGATTTTTCGATTTTTCGATTTTTCGATTTTTCGATTTTTCGATTTTTCGATTTTTCGATTTTTCGATTTTTCGATTTTTCGATTTTTCGATTTTTCGATTTTTCGATTTTTCGATTTTTCGATTTTTCGATTTTTCGATTTTTCGATTTTTCGATTTTTCGATTTTTCGATTTTTCGATTTTTCGATTTTTCGATTTTTCGATTTTTCGATTTTTCGATTTTTCGATTTTTCGATTTTTCGATTTTTCGATTTTTCGATTTTTCGATTTTTCGATTTTTCGATTTTTCGATTTTTCGATTTTTCGATTTTTCGATTTTTCGATTTTTCGATTTTTCGATTTTTCGATTTTTCGATTTTTCGATTTTTCGATTTTTCGATTTTTCGATTTTTCGATTTTTCGATTTTTCGATTTTTCGATTTTTCGATTTTTCGATTTTTCGATTTTTCGATTTTTCGATTTTTCGATTTTTCGATTTTTCGATTTTTCGATTTTTCGATTTTTCGATTTTTCGATTTTTCGATTTTTCGATTTTTCGATTTTTCGATTTTTCGATTTTTCGATTTTTCGATTTTTCGATTTTTCGATTTTTCGATTTTTCGATTTTTCGATTTTTCGATTTTTCGATTTTTCGATTTTTCGATTTTTCGATTTTTCGATTTTTCGATTTTTCGATTTTTCGATTTTTCGATTTTTCGATTTTTCGATTTTTCGATTTTTCGATTTTTCGATTTTTCGATTTTTCGATTTTTCGATTTTTCGATTTTTCGATTTTTCGATTTTTCGATTTTTCGATTTTTCGATTTTTCGATTTTTCGATTTTTCGATTTTTCGATTTTTCAATTTTTCAATTTTTCAATTTTTCGATTTTTCGATTTTTCGATTTTTTGATTTTTCGATTTTTCGATTTTTCGATTTTTCGATTTTTCGATTTACCAATTTATTAGAAGCCAGAGAAAGCTCTTCTAGTTCTTGTATTGCATAAACGTTCCAGTCCGCAGACGTATATTTAACTCCGCTTCATACTAATACGAATAGGGTCGGATAAAACCTTCCACGGCTTTAAACGCCACATCGCTGTACCGGTCGGAGTGGAGGGTGTTAGGTTTATTTTCGATACGGAATTTCTTGATTCGGTAGCCGCGCTCAAAGCCCGCGATAAAAGTTATGCAATAGCTTAAAAATATTAAAAATAATTAAAAAAAAACCGTCAGACGTCACGAGACTTTTGTAAATATTTCATTTGTAGGTTACTTACTTTATTTTACCATGCAAAACTAATGAAAGTTTTTAAACAATCGTAGAAACATAATTTGACCTTGGCAACATGGTGTTGCCCCCACCCCCCGCCCTCCTTCCTAACGTTTGCACCTACCACGCCCGCGCCGCGCGGTCAAAACTATTTAGCAGTTTGTAAATAGACATTTTTAAACGGAATACTAGTATTACAGCCGTTGAACGAGCGTGTAGTGTGTTATTTGAGTGTTACTGTATTTTGTGTAAATTAGTGTAAACTAAACAATTATCATTATGTCATTTAAAACAAGGAATCTAGTAAATTGTCCCCTTTTTGATGCACCAAAAGAGATGAGTTGTGTTATGTTACCAACGTATGAGTGTATCATAAAAGAGTTTTTATGGACGAGGATTGGATTGGAGGTCAAATCTGTTAATAGAAATCTTCTTGTATCTAAACCATCGAAGATTATTGCTAAGCGAGCTGAAGATATATGGAAAAACGCTAGTATTCCAATAGTAAGTCATCAAAGGATTGTCGAACTTGTGAAGCAATCTTATGACAAATATCGAAACTTGCTGAAGCCGTACAAGCAAACGCAAAATGTTGCCTCGTACAAACTAAAAGATGGATTTATTAGGAACACTTTAGATTCCAGGGCAAGAATGCCAAAGTTCGAAACCAACAAGGATTTTAGTCATTAATAGTCCCTCTACTGACTTTTATACTCGCTACTTTTATACTTTCGCTAAGAAATAAAAGTGTTTTAAAATTTGTAGTGTATTTTTCTTAACCTATACCTATTTAAGAAAGAGTTGTGAGAGGGAGGTGAGAAGAAACAAAATTAATTGGACCTATCACCTCTTCACGAGGTAAGCTGAAAAGTTTAATGGGAGGAAAAAAAGGAGGGGACGCTACCCTACGTTGTTGGGGACAAGGATGAAAGAAAATCTAATAAAATACATTGTCTCTTTACCAAAACACAGCTTTCCTGGATGTACGGATTTTTAATATTTGAGAAAAAAGTTTGGTAACTTTTAAACCTGTTGGGGAGGTGGAAGGGGATGAAAAAAAAATCAAAAAAAACTGCTTTATACTCATACTAATACACACTTTTATTAACCATAGGCGTTTAAAATTTTAGATATAATTTTTTCGTAAATTTTGGACGTGATAGGGGGTGAAAGGAGATGAAACAAAAATCTAACAAAAAAACTGCATTATCTTATTACTAAAACACAACTTTCCTGCATACAGGCGTTTTCAATTTCCGAGAAACATTTTTTTCCCTGTGCCGACGCACCAACCTATTGTGTATATCTCCGAATCTATAATGTGGATATTGAATAAATGTGCTGGATAACAAATTTCAATCTAATGATAGTTGTGATATACTTTCAAGGAACTGAATAGTTTTCAAACCAACGCACATTCGAAATTTATGATTGTATTTTTGAATATTGAGTTGTAGTGGTTTTGCAAAAGTCTTTCCAAGATTTTCTCCACTTTTCCATTTGACGTTGTTTCTCAATTGCAAAAGCATCTAAATTTCACAGCTGATAACTTGTCGGTGAGCCATTAGTAGTTGAGCTTTTAGCCAAAAAAATCTACATACTCATTATGATTGAGCCCTCTATGTGCTTTAACCCATATTAATTGAACCGTTTTCGATGTATTACGAATTTCGAATAGTATCTTTTTAATGAGCAAAATGTAAGCATTTGATGAATTAGAAGAAAGATTTGGGCTTTGAATAGCAAGTAAAACAGATTGGGAATCAGATAAAATAACTGCAGTATTATTATTAGTTATTTTAAAGTATTTTATAGCTCCATATAGAGCAATTGCTTCAGCTCTAAATATTGAAACATTTAATGGTAATTTAAAAACGTTCTCAGTAGATGTAAATGGGATAAAAAAGACACATCCTGTATCAGCTGAAGTTTTGGAAGCATCTGTGTAGATCTTTGTAGAATCATGCAAGTTTTCTAGTTGTGAGTTCAAAATATTGGAACTTATTTCATGATTTTCATGACAAATTGGTTGTATATCATTAACATTGTTAAAAAAGGCAAAAAATCCTCAAAATCTAAGCACTGATCTATAGTGATGAGATCCTCATAATTGCTAATATTTCTATAAGCTTCACAAAGTGGGAGAGATTGTTTATGTATTCAATATTTTTGTGTTAAATCAAAATATTTTAATTTACAAATACTGGCATACAAGGTAGTGTTTGTACATCGAACTTTTATTAGAAATTTTTTGCTGAGATATTCTCTTCTATAACATAATGGAGGTTCTAATGTTTCGACATGTAGTGGACCGATAGGGCATGATTTCATAGCACCTATACAAATGGGAAGTACCGTATTTTAAAAGACATCAATTCTTTTTAAAATGTGATTACTTGCTGATCCATAAAGTATACAACCATAATCTAAAATGGATCTAATTTACGATCGATAAAATAACAAAGAAGTTTCGACATCCAATCCCCACCAGGTTTTTGATATCGATTTTAAGAAATTTAAACCCCCATTGCATCTAATAAGCATATGATTCCTAAATATTTAATAGATTTGTAGAGAGGGAAATCGTTACCGTTTAATTTTAGTTTTTCGATATTTGAGTCATTGTGTCGAAAAAAAAATGCAGACATTAGATTTACTGGGTGACAGTTGGGGAGGTATGTGGAATAAGTAAATCATCTTACTTTTTAATATTGTTAATCAGACGCTATCATATGCACCTTCTATATCAATAGATTGTGTTGGTAAATATTTGTTATTGGAAAGAGTA